CCCGCCGCCGCCGCCGCCGCCGCCGCCGCCGAGGGCCGGGGCAGCAGCTGGCTGCGGACCCGCGGGCTCCGAGGCCCGCACCTCCAAGTCCTGTCACTCAAGCTCCCGCTGTGTGCTTTCAGGTGGCTTTGTAATCTGGGCTCGCCAGGGAGCGTCCAGGCAACGATTATGTCAGTGGCGAGATGACAGCTAGGAGACACCCAAAGGGAGAAGCCCAGCCTCCTTCATGAAGGTGTTGCTGGAGGTAAAATGAGGGGGACGGGTGGTGGCTAGACTGGGATCGGTCGCCCTAAGGGGAAGAATTCCAACGCCAATCTCGACCTCGGTCACCCACCACCCCGAATCTGTTCGGCAAGCGGAGTGGGTGGCGGCCAGCACTCCTCGCCACTCCTGGTTACAAAGTCCTGTCTACCGGCCAGTTTGATTTGCCAACCGACAGCCCCCTTGGAGCCTCTCTGATCATCAGACCGGAGAGGGAGGTGAAATTTTTGCTCAGATCGGCCCGCCAGTGTCTCCCCGAGTGCTAAGAGACGAGAAGAGGAGTGGTTCAAGTTTGCAGCGGTGGAGAGAAATTGGTGCTGAGGGCGGAGAGAGGAATCCTTTCTGGCCAGTGCTTTCTACAAGCAGAGGTGGTGAGGGTGGATAATCAAAAGGGGAGAAACGCAGGAAGATCAGATTCTGTAGAGTCAAGGGTCTCAGCGAAAGACCAATCTTAGGCTTACTAAGACCCCGCCCCGACTAGGAAAAAACAAAAAACAAAAACAAAAAACAAAAACGCAAATGCTACCAGGGTTTGTTAGTTCCGCACCAAAATCAGAGGCACCTCCCTTTGCCTTGTGATTGGCTACTTTCTCCCGTTCAGAACAGTCTCCTCACCGTATTGGCCTATGAGCAGATAGAACCTGCCTTCAAGAATAGTCAGCAAACCAATTAGGTTTGGGGCTCAAGGCATTTCGGGAAGTGTAGTTCTCTGGAGTTCTGTGGTCCAAGAAGATGCCTTCCACTTGGAACTTCTAAAACTTTGCTTTGTAGTTTCATACTTGTTGAAATAGGAACTTAATTCATCAAAGGGAGGGAACGGAATAAAACAAATTTGAAGACTTTCCTAAACTAGTTCTGAGTGGCTCCACGCTTTGGTTTTTGTTTTGTTCTGTTTTGTTTGGGATGGGGGTGGGGAGTTGATGTTTTTTGAAACACATTTTGTCCAGTTTGACACATTATATTGGGCACAAAGGGCTTAAAAAACGCAATACTTCTCTTCAACAAATTTGTTGCTGTGTCAAGGGGACGACATTACATAACCAAATGTAAAATCAAAATCGTATGATTTCAGCGGTGGAGGGCTGAGGAGGGACATTGAATTAATCAGGGAAGGCCTGGAAATGGGGATAGCCATCTTATGCTGAGCAGGCAGTGATCCTAGGAATCAAGGAGAGGAGAACTTCCCAAGGGTGGCTCAAGGGAGGCTTTTAAAAATTGAACTACCTCCATAGTTTCCTTAAAAGTCCAACTGATCCTACAGAGGAATTTACAGAACAGGTAAATCACACCCTTAAATTTTATGATATGCTTGCCCACCTAGGTTTAGAATAAAATTGTTGAGAAAAATCATCACTGAATTACAAAACTGAAGGGAGACCACAATTTTCTGTCCAGAGGCCCTGTGATATAGCAAAAGGTTTCTGGCTTCCATATGCCTGACAGAAGTTCCAATCCAACCCCTGGTCATCTCTGCAAAGTTGGGCAAATTTATTTATTTACCTCAGAAACAAATTCATCATGTGAGTTACTTCATGTGTAGAAATGAGATCAATCACCTAAATAGGGGTGGGGAAGAACAAAAATGTTAGTGCTACATTGCTTAGCCCACTGTTGCTCTCCAAGAATGTTAATTTCTTGGTCCATGGGGGTCTCTGAGATGAAAACCTGAGGTCACCAGGTTAGGTCAGGCCCCTGTTTTTGCTATAGAGTTATTGCTTTGATCTCTATACCTTAGCAATCTCATCAGATTCTGAATTCATCCTGCCATTCCCACAACACCAGTCCAGAAGAGTCCTAGAATTGAAGGTGAATGTAGATCTGTTTTATGATATTACAGGACAGTGGAACATATCCAGAAATCCATTTAGTAAGAAATATTGGGGCATTTAAATGGTTAGTGTTATAATAACAAAGATAAAATGATGTATCCTCAGACTCCTTTTCTTTCTGTTTTACATTATGTTTATTTTCCCTGTGTGTGTATTTTGGGGTGAGGTGGGTGCCCACATACACAGAACATGGATGAAGTAGTTGGAGGACAATCTTCTGGGGTTGGTTCACTCTTCCACTTTGTGGGTCTGGGGATGGGTTGACCTTGGGTTGTGACTTGACGGCATGCACCTTAAACTACTGCACTATCTTGCCAGCTCCTGCTGGGGCTTCTTATAAATCAATTTCAACTGATGGCTGTTTTAAAAAATTAAGATTGAAAATTTTAATAAATAAGTGTAAAATTTATGAAAATTTAGCCTAGACTAAGACTTTAGTTGTTGTTGTTTGTTTTTTACTCTTTTTGGCTCCCCCAAAAAAAATCACTCACAGACGCTTATTCTTAATTATGAATGCCTGGCCTTAGCTTGGCTTAGTCTCTGGCCAGCTTTCCTTAACTTATCCCACCTACCTTTTGCCTCTGGGCTTTTCTCATTCTCTGACTTCCGTACTCCATGGCTCTTACTCCATGGCTAGCTGGTTGTGTAGCTGGGTGGCTGGCCCCTGGAATCCTCTCCCATTTCTCTTCGCAGATTTCTTCTTCTATTAACCTCTCTGCCTGCCAACCCCGCCTATCCTTTCTCCTGCCTTGCTATTGGCCAACTCTTTATTAGACCATCACGTGTTTTAGACAGGCACAGTAACGCAGCTTCACAGAGTTAAACAAATGCAATATAAGCAGAAGTAACACACCTTAAAATAATATTCTGTTACATTTAGTAATTTATAGTTTGGTTTAATTTTTAGCAGAAGGGATCTAATTTTACCTGTAGTAATTTCTCAGCAAAGTTTGTGTTTCGTCCTGATGAATGAATCAATATGTTGACTTCAAGCAGTTCAATAGCTCTATGCCTTCAGGCAAATGATGGTTTCCTTCTCAAATGGAAATTTTTCTTACCTACTTATTGAAGAATGAACTAGAACCGGGTATTATATGTATAGCAGACCACTGCCAACTTACCAATAAGTGGATTGCATTTAGCTCAACCTGGGTAACACATAGCAATACTGACAGACTTGACACAAAGCAAAAAGAAATCTAAACACACACAAGAAAGACAGTTCGTTACATTATGAAACATGGAATGATAAAATCCAGAAAGGTATACATTTCTGAACCTGCGAATCTTCGTTATCAGATTTAATATTCACCAGATTAATGGAGATTATGTACAGAGGCAGCTGAATGAAAGCTATATGCAGAGGCAGCTTGGCGTTGATTGAGATAACCTTCAAGTACATTGTTTGTTTGTTTGTTTGTTTGTTTGTTTATTGGCAGACTTTCTGGGAAGTGAGTGACATCTGCATCACTGACTAACATTCATTTTTATTGACTCAACTTCAGTTTATGAAGTCCCAAAGGGTTATAAGTGTGACAGTAACTGATTCACAGCGTGTTTTAACAGAGTATTGAATTTAAATTATTTGCCAGTTGCAGCATAGATGTTAATGAGTTTAGACTCCTTTTATGGAAAGTGTTTCCTAGATCTTGTCAAGACAATGAGCCCTGAGTGACTGTTTTTAGTCAAGGAATACTGTTCCCAGCTCGCAGAATCAGAGGTGGGAATCTGAAACCAACCCAAGCCCAGGAATAAAAATTCTGGGAATTTGGAATTGAATTATGACGCTCCCAGGTGGGCTGAACTTTGGAGTCATATGGAGGTGAGGCTGGGTGGTTTACTCTGCTTCTCGGATACAGAAGCTTTGAATGTCCATGCCACATGCGTCTGAGGGGCAGCCACTGTCACACCATTGACTCCAGGCAGGCAGAAAACAGCATCTCCATTCCCAACATGCCATTCACTTCCCAGCGGTCTTCCTTATACCACCATCTACTTACTGCACATCCCTCCCTCTTTTGTGTAAATTAGCTAAGTGGATTTCTTTTCTTACAATCAAGTATTTTAACAGAAGTTTAGACTCCATCTACCCCCCCTGAATAAAGGAATGGAGAGCAATGTAGCCATCTTCCACTGGCCAGTTTTACATTCTCCTGTCACTTCTCTCTACAGTTCAAAGGCTACTGCAATAATCCTTGGTAATTTGGGCCAGAGGGGTTAAAAGTGGTAGCAATGCAAGCTGTCAGTCATATTCTGAATTGCATTTTAATAGTGGTACCCAGAGGATTTGCTGATAGCCGGGGAGAGAGAAAGAAGAGGAGCCAGACACACAGCTCAAATTTCAGCCTGAGCACTGCAAAGGTTGATACTGTACTGCTTCATTTCCACAGTCATGACTCATGGGTAGGTAATTTCCAGTCACCGTTTATACCTGCATGGACTCCACAAGAATGATCAGCTAAATAAACAAGCTTTGCCTGAGAGCAACAAGCAGGATCTACTACATTGTGATCTTTGTCCAGCTTTAACATTTCCAGAAAAACAGATCAGACAGATGTTAAGTCAGACTAAATAAAACCACACACTAGTTTAGCTACTTCTATGGTCTTTAAGTTGTGGGGTTTTTTGTTTTGGATTTTTGTTTTGTTTGTTTGTTTGTTTGTTTGTTTTGTAAGATATCATTCAACTATAAGCAAAAATTATCCAGTAAGGTCATATGAAGAGAACATTCCAGAAGTAAAAACGGAGACTAACAGAACCAAGTGTATGCAAGCTATGTGGCATTTACCTAAGGTGTGAAAGAACAATCTTGTCAAATTCTTTCAAGTATTTCAAATGCTATTTCTACAAAAGGAATTATTTTTGATAAGGAAACAGGTCGCTCACTATTTTTAATTAGAGTACCTTTTTGGGGGATGTAAATGTTGTATTTTGAGCATTTTGCTAAATTTGTATCACCTTTGCTTTTAAAACACTTGTGAAAATTAGATTTGTGGGCTGAAAAGCTAGCAACAATATATTTTATGCAATTAGATCCCTGTAAATATTTTGTGGTAGCAGAGTAAGCTCTGAACAGAAGTTTAATTTCATATTTTTCCCATGGCCCCACCCTTCCTGTCCACTTGAACTTTATCCCACAATGAACCTCTTCTTACCTCACGCACCCAAAACAAAGAGATGCTGCTTGACAATGATGTTGTTGCTTGGGACACAACCCACAGAAAAAGGAAGGTATCTCATGATTAGACTTGGAGTCACATCTGGGCATTGTGGCCTCTCCCGCTGATGTTGGATATCCTGGAGCCCTGTGCTCCTCACGTGGCCTCTGCAACCCCTCACAACTCCTCCAACCCTCCACGGCCTGGTGTAATACCTTAAGAATCCTCTCACGCGCCCAGTGATGCTCCTGTGCCTCTCATGTGCCCCTCACATGCTCACAGGCCTGACTCTCACATGTATCATTCAAACACCCCATCTGTCAAGGGTCTCTCATACCTTTGCTCTTGCCCCTCAGGTGCCCCTTACAGGCCCCTGACCTGACTCTCACATGTATCACTCAAGCACCCCGTCTGTCAGGGGTCTCTCACAACCTCTCGTGTGTCTCTTCACAGACCTCCAACCAGACTCTTCTATATCCCACATGCAGCCCTGTGTGCCTCAGCTCCCATGGCCGCTCCTGCAGACCTCATGTGCCTCTCTCTCTCCCAGTTCACATGCCTCTCAGATGACTCTCACTGGCCTCTGCCCTACCTCTCAGAATCACTCACATGCCTCACACATGCCTCAGCAGCTCAGCCTTGAGCGAGGAAGGATGAGAGGCTGTCTTGCCTTTGATCTGTCCAAGAAAGACCCAAAATGCATCATTGCTGATGTACTACATACCTGAGGCTTTCAAGCCATCCTGAAAAATCAGACTTGCAAACAAAAACTATTACTAATTGAATCATTGAGCATCAACTTGGGTACTCTTAAAAAAAATAAAAAATAAAAATAAAATCCCTTAGGCTCAATCAAG